GCTGAGACAACTGTCTCAAAGGCCTCTCAAGCCCAACATGCCAAAATCTCAACTTAGTCCCCATTTAAGATCTACTTGTGTGGGGGCTGGGTGTTTAGCTCAGCGGCAAAAGCGCCTGCCTGGCAAGCGCAAGGTCGTGAGTTCGGTTCCCGGTACCGGAGAAAAACCAAAACCAAAAAAAAAAAAATAAAAAATAAAAAAAATAAAAAGGGAATGAATGTGTGTTATGTACATGGACAACTCCCCACAAGGAAGGTAAACACTGTGTACTCCAAACACGGACTAATAAAAATACATACATTCGTTATGCAGGGGAAAAGAGCCATTTCCCAGTAAGAAGCCTGTAGATGTCTGCTCATAGCCATAGCAAATCAAAATCTGCACCGCATACAAGGATGCAAGACTTCTGGGACGCTCCTCCCTCCATGGCCTGACCCTCCCCAAGAAGAAACTCTGGACAGTGGGAGCTTCGGTGTCCTCCACACAGCAGCCGTCTTGTGCTCCTCGAAAGCTATGAAGTCATAAAGGTCAAGTTAAAAATAAGGGAGTGTGACACCTCTATGACATGTGTAACAGTGGTTGTCCCCTTCCTCTCAGGAAGAAAAGGGGTTTGCACCTTACTCTCGTTTGTGAGTAAAAGTTACTAAACCTTTAAATAAATAAGGCATTGCATTGCGTTCTTTCAGATACATGGTTGAAAAGGGATTGTTCACCACCACTCCAGAGAACCGGTCTAGAAAGAGGCAGCAGTCAGAGGGGGCCGGCCCAGGCTGGCCCAAACTCCTGGCGACCCTCTTGCCTCAGCCTCTGGAGTAAGCCTCTGGCTTACAGGCGTGCACCGCCATGCTCCCTGTTTCTTTGTTTCCATGGCAGCGCTTCAGAGACTGTCAAAATCACCCCTTTCCTGCCCGGCATGGTGGCGCACACCTGTAATCCCAGCACTTGGGAGGCTGAGGCAGGAGGATCGTTGAGAGTTCGAGACCAGCCAGGGCTACAAAGTGAGCTCAAGGCCAGCCTGAACTGCAGAGTGAGACCCTGTCTCAAAAAGACAAAAAAAAACCCAATAAAACCCCACCCCTTTCCTTCTGAACTCCCCGAGGGTACTGACACTATGGACTTATCCATGGTATTTCCGGAGATCAGCACATTCCAGGCACAGAGCAGTTCCTGCAAAAGCATTTACAGGGTGAATGGAAGGATAATTCACATGGACCCCAAATAAGCATCTCCCCACGGGTGGGCGCGGAATATTCCTCAACGCTCGGCGCTCCTGCTGTCTCTGCAGTCTGGGAAGGTCGGGCTGCTCCCTGCAAAGCCCGCTGTGCAGAGACCTGAAACGAGAGCCCTCGGGCTTGGCCAAGCCTGCTGAGCAAGGGCGGAAGCACAGCCCGGTACCGGCTCCCAGCCGCTCATCCCTCTGCAGACTACAGAGTAACTCCGGGCTCTGAAGGTCCAACAACCACTTCCTTCAAGGAAAAGGATTCTGGGTAACCAAGGTCTCTTCAGCCCTGACCTTGAAAATGTCCACAGCCGCCCCCATTGAGCCCCTGCTGCTGCGTCTCCCTGCCCGTCCTGAGGCCCAGGGCCGGCTCTTCTCTTTGGTTCATCATCTCCACTGAACTGGTGCAAAAGGAAAAAAACCACCGTCCGCGCCACAATGGGGCCGATTGTTCTGCGCTGTCACATTCCCCTAAATGTTTACTTTGTGTTTGATAATCTAACAGGAAATGAGGGGTCAGGACGTTTGTGATTTCCCCGTTCCCCTCTGGTCAAGACGAAGGAATGGCTGCTTTCCTAGCTGCTCAAGACAAGCTGTGGAGGAGTGAGTCTGGGTGTTCATCTCCTCTCCTCGCCATGTGCCCCGGGGGTGCCGCACAGCCAGGCATTGTCCAAGGAAAGTTCTGGAAGCCGATGCTTTGAGCTGAGCCCCTGTCCTCGGCCCCAGCAGAGCTGACCAGACCCAAATGAAGTCACTGGCTCCAAGTGCCACCCCACCAAACGCAACTGGAAGTGGGCCGACGGACTCCAAAACGGACCCATTTTCCCTGAAAACCAACGCTCCTGTCTCCCAGGAAGAAGTACTGTCTGATTTCAGATCTCTTTTGCACACTGAGGCCACGCTGATTTACGAGCCACAAATAAAAGCCAACCCTGCCTGCAGTGGAACGTGTTTCACGGTGTTTGTGACAGAATTTTCACCACTGCACTGAGTGCTATGGGGATTAAGATGGACAGAAAGATTAGGTTCCTTGCTGACCAAATGCCAGGCCGGGTGGTGATCAAGGAGTGAGTCAGCTCAGCAGTAGAGCATGTGCATTGCTCCAGTGAGGCCCTGGGTTCAGTCCCCAGCACCACCAAAGAAAGCATCGGGAAAGTATTCTTTGAGGCCTTGGGAAAGTAGCCAGAGGGCTCAGCGTGCTCCCTTCTACCAAGACCCCACGGCCTAGCTTCTGCATCCAGAAGTTCGTACTCGTCCAAAGACCCTGCAATGGTCCAGCGGAAGTGGATTCTAGAACCCGGCCCTCTACTAAAGAGCAGAGTGGCATCTCCCGGGGCCAGAGTGTCCCACTAAGTAAATTCAAGTTACAGAGTCAAATACCTTCTGGGGCATTTCTAACTTTTTCTTTTTGTTTTTGGTACTAGGAATCGAACTCAGGACCTCGCAGTTGCCAGGCAGGCGCTCGTGCCGCTGAGCTGTAGCCCCGGCCTCAAACCTTTTCATTGTGCCTTGGAATATGCTGTAAGGGAGGAAAAAATTTATCATCATAGTTTGGTAGCTGAGTCTGCAAAATAACTGACACCAGGCAGACGAACAGGAGAAAAGCCATATACTTTATAGACTTTTACTATTACAGGCGCAGGGCGGCATGAAAGACGAAAAAATAATACCCCCCAAAAGCAGTGCGATTCGAGCTGTTCTCTGTCATCTCAACAGGAGGAGGGGCAGGAGACGTAGGTCACTTAGGCACCGGGAAGGACATTTAGGACAGGTGAGGGGACGCTTAGGAGCATAAACCGGAGAAGGGATGATAGTGACGAGGTCTGCCTGGGAGCGGCCGACTTCAGGGCCTGCAGAGAGATAAGGGCGCTTTTCCTGGGCTGGAAACTCCCAAGAGGGGATTGAGGATGGTTGAGTTCCTGTCGCAGGACGCCGCTCAGCAGATAAGGGGAGCTGTGAGGAAGCTGCTCCTGCCGGCCTGTTCAAGTGTTTCCCACTCAAAATAATCAGCCCACCACAGGGACGCGTTTTGAGATGGGGGGTCCTGAACCCCCTCCGTGGCAAAACGTATTTGAAAATATTAAAAATGTAGAATTCGGCTATAAACAATACTTTTAAGTATGTCTTGTATTCTGGTAACAAAGATAAGATCTTAGAATTGCTGTTGCTCACTGGGATGAAAATAATTGGATAAAGGAGTTTAAATTGTTTACACAAAAGCAATTTCCTCAAAAACAGCATTATGAGTTCTAGTGTCCCCAAAGAAAATTTTTGGAAATTATATTCTGTTAAAACTTGCATTAAGAGAACAGAATAAAATGCAGTATCAGGTGAAAATGAATCAACAAAATAAATGCTTCTATAGGAAAAGCCCCGTTGTTGAACTAGGGACGCTTTGAGTCTTATCTGTGTCTTACTACCTGGAAGAAAGTGTCTAACCTTCAGGCTCCTCAGTTGACCCAGATGGAGAGAAATCGTACGTATTTCAGAGGTTTTGGTGAGGATGAATAAAGTTAATTCAAATAAAACAGTCGAGTAAACACTCGAAGTCTAACACTTGCCCTTGAAATAGTGTTACATTTTAAGATGAATATCATGGAGGGGGAGGAGCATTAAAAGAATTAAGGTGTGGTTTGTACATGTGCATGCACCCTGGGGTGAATGCGATCATCGTACACTGCAAACCACGCTAATAAAAATTTTAAAAAGAAAGAATTTTGTATCCGGAAATGGACATGAATAGGTGAAATAAACAAAAAGCTATAATGGACAAATCTACACACTAAAGGTGCACGTTTCCATTTTAAATAATACTTAAGAGCACTGGAGTTTGACCTTTTTCACAGCACAAAAGAACTTCCCTCTTGCTTTTCTGGCCGTGTGCATGTGGGTGTTTTTGTTTTAAGACCTAAACTGCTAGTTTAGGTCTTGAATGCACTATGGACCCCAGCTGACCTTGAACTTGCAGCGATCCTCCCTGCCTCAGCCTCCAGAGTGCTGGGATTAGAGGCGTGCCCCTCCACGCCCTGTGCATATTGGACTTTTAAAACTGCTTCCACTTTAAAGAGTTCAACCTCAAAGCAAAGCAAGTTAAGCGTGAAGAACTGTGTGGCCCAAGTGGCAGGTGAGGTGGAGATACATGGCTAAAGGAGCTCCCAGGGCCTGAGGCCTTCTTTCTGCCCTGGCTCTGGGGTGCCCTGGGTGTCCCTCATCTTTACCTACTGGGGGCAACGCAGTGGCACTAGCTAGGACACCTGGGTAGGAGGCTTTTCAGAAGCCAGCCTCCTGCAGAGCCCGGGACCACACAGCAGGAGCCCTGACTTCCGCACTTTCTCCTAACAATCCCAAGCGTGAACAGCAGTGCGAATTTTCTCTCTCGCAGATACAGCTGGAAATACCTCCATGCGCATCATGCGTCCCTGGATCATCCAACAGCCTGGAGTGTTCCCGCCAGCCAGGCCCCAGGCCCTCAGGGCACTAAGGGCCAGGGAGCACCGGTGCCCTCCCAGGAGCGGGAGAAGGCTTCATGGCACCTGGGGCAGGGAGCCGCTAGCCCGTCCTTGGGGAATGACTTCACCACCCAACTGGGAATCGATGAAAACAAACAAATGTCTCACATCCACTTCAAACTGCTGGATTTCCGTGGACTTTCTGTTTATAAAGTTTCCACTATCTAAATCAGTTATAAAGTCGGGTTAAATATTTTTTCTAGGCCTTGCTCCATGTGCTGACTTCCTCACCCTTTCAAGCTCAGTCCGAGTCCCTCAGGTCCGTCTGGAAGCTCGAAGAAAGACCTTTTTATAAGTGTTGCTGAGCGCTGCAGAGGCTCGGTTTGTTTTCATCCGTCATGTACTGCGCTGGCCCCTCCGAGGCCCTGGGGAGCCATAGGAACATTTTCCAGAGTTATTTCCAGAATAAACACGGCTTGAAAGGCTGGCCTTGCCTCCCCGCTGCCCACACTTCGCATCTGTGCTCCAGGAGGGAGGGGAGACCCCAACTTTCTGTAAATATTTCAACACAGCCAGTTCTCAAAGGGATTAGAATTTGCATTTTTGAGTCTATCTGAAACAGCCGCAGAAAGGGGCCCCTTTCAAGTGACGGGGTGAACGTTAATTGATAGTGAAACATTTCAACATTATATTTTTTATCTCTATTAACAAAGG